GTTAATACAGTACTCTGCAGTAATCGATTCAGTACAGTATTTCGTAATAAAAAATTAACACAGTATAACATAAGCATCATATCATTCAAGTAAACAATAATTAATGCAGTATTAGTATCATTTAAATTAATCAGTAATCACTGATATAATACCATCGTTAATTGATCATTATTAATTCCAATGAAATTCAATCTTATTATAACATTTTAATAACTGTCAATGTTCAATAACAACCTGATACTTTAGTAGTAATCTGATATTTTAGCAACAATCGATACATTAATATCAATCATGAATTATACAATTGTCAATATTTCATAGGGAAGAAAGAAAGGAAAAAAGAAGTTGAAAATGAAGTAAATTAGTACGAATGCAAGTAAATTGTTACTTCTCGTCTTAAATCAATCATTCATTTTCTTTTTTTTCAAACTTTCCTTTCCCATTATTATTTTCATTCAATATTGCCTTTTTCTTTTCCTTCCTTTTTTCTTTTCATTTCTTAACTTATTTTATAAACGTATACATACTTATATGTTTATAAGTATTTTATAAGAAGAAAAAAAAAAAAAAAAAGAAAAAGATGTTGGAAGAGATTTAAGAGGGAAAGATAGAAAGAGAGGGAGAGAAATGATCAGGTAAAATGATTTAATTGAAAATCAACCAATGACAAGCTATGTCTTCTTTTACTTTTATTATATTTGTTCATTAAATTAGAGGCAATACTTAATGCAATTAATACATCCCATCTAATGTTATCGATAAATGAAGTACGAAATTTGAGAATAAAATAGAAGATTGATAACAAACATCTGTCTCAATTATTGGAAATAACATTAAAAAAAAAAATTGCATTGAATGGTATTGCTATTGATTAAAGCTGTTGAACTTGTGGAATATATAATGTTTTGTTTTTCTACTTTTTTTTTTTTGCAAAAAAAAAAGACGTGTTGTACGTAAATTAAGCAAAATGTATTTAAAAAAAAAAAGGAAAAAAAATAACCTACTAGGATAGCAACATTTTAATAAATCCAAAAATATATAAATATAGCAACAACAGATTGTTATCATTATTAGCAATAGTTGTAATAGTAATGTTCAGAATAGTAGTGGATGTAATTATAGTAGTATCAGTTGTTGCTATATCATTTTAGTAATGCTTATTTTAATTTCTTAATTAAATTAATCCAATTAAGGAAGAAGAAAAAGATAAATTTTATAAGATAATTTGTTATTAATTACATTATTAATACAATAATTGTGTATAACATGATGAAATAAATGTTAACAAAATATAACCATATGAATATGTGTTATTTGAAGAAATAATATCCAAATTGATAAATAATCATTGATAAATGGAATGCGCCATAAAAATGATGCCAAAATATAAATGGATTAATGGGAGATACCAGAAGTGATAGTATAATTAGATGAACTTGAAGTAGTCATTAAGAGGGAGCAATTTAATCAAATCAGCTGCACTTTATCAGATCTCTCTCTTTAAGCAACGATTTGTTGTGATAATAAGAAGAGAGGAGGGAATGAATGACAAGAAGTTGTGATGATAAGAAGAGAGGAGGGGATGAATGACAAGAAGTAATACATATAAAAAGAGGTAAATTGTGGAAGCAAAGGTGGGAGAGGGGATAAAGAGAATGAGGAGGAGGAGAAGAGGTAGGAGGAGGAGGAGAGGAGGAGGAGGAGGAGGAGGAGGAGGAGGAGGAGGAGGAGGAGGAGGA